TTTTAAATTGTAAGTTTTCAATTTCTTTATTAGTCAAAAATTCCTTTTCTATAATGCCTGCCCATGTGATAAGATTAGAAGCATTTTTGATATTTTCCATGCTTGAGTCTAGTGAAAAGTAGAGAAAATAAAGGGAAGACAAACATGTTAAGAGTCTAGTATCAGAAGTAAAACATTCAAATGTTACATTTTCATTGTTCTTCCAGACGTTCTCCAAAAAGTAAGAAATTCATTGCAAACTTTCTGTAAAATACATCCATTATATGTTGATACCATGGAGACATTTTTCATTTTGTCACATATTTTTCGAATTTTCTAGAATCGTGGGGTCTATAAATCTTGCCTTCAAATCCTTCTTAAATTTTCCAAGCTGCAATGTCAAAAATACTAACGAAAAAAAAAATTATCCCTAACCAAATTCTGCAACAGCAAAAAAGCCAGAAATATTTTTGGAGGGGGAAAAAAGGGGGAGGGAAAATGTGTAAAAATTAATTTTATTATAGAGAAAACTGATGCATATTCTGAGAATTTTGAATATTCCGAAGCAATTACATGGAAAAAACTCTTACTATGAAAAAAATTAAAAAGAAGTTATTTTTAATTACTTACATAGCTAATTTTGCTTTTGCTAAGAGCTATTTCGTAAATTGTGCTTTATAGCATTATACCTTGTTTATTTTTCAGATTCAAAATATTGTATAATAAGTTGCCAAAATAAAACTTTATAATATGACAGCGAAAAATAAAAATGTTTTATTTTAATGTTATTTTTTAAATATAATTTCAATATATTACCATTATTTTAATCAAATTTATCAATGTTACAATGTTTAAAAAAAATTGTCGAAAAATTCTCAAATCTCGGAACTAAAAGTTTTATATGGAAACCGATCTTAAAATCACCAAAATGTCAATAAGTCGGCAAATTTAGAATTGTTTAATAAAAGAATTCACATCTCCAAAAGGGAAAAGTTGTTTAAAAGCTCTTTATTAGAAAAAATAAATTTCAAAATGCTTATGCTTAGAAACTCGAGTAACCCATCATTTATATTAGAAATAGAAACAAATTATAACCCATGAACCCATTCAAAAGCTAACCATATATGTCAGTGAATCGCCAAAAATATTCCTCCAAAATGCTAATTCACACTCAAAATGGCAGGCGTAAGTAAAAACAGACAAAAATTTCAGATGATTAAAATTAAGGACCTTCTGCTGAGTTTGGCCAAAATTAAGGACTTTTAAAAACCGTACGAACCCTGTATATATAGCAGCTAATTTTGTCAGGATTTTACAAAAAATTAAAACTTAAATTTATTGAAATAACTACAAGCAGTAACTTGAATAAGACATTTCTCTGTGACCATACTAACAAGCACTTTAGTATTTTATTAGTTAATACTAAAATGCATAGTTGCAAATACCCAGAAGCAGAATAGATTGTTAACATTTCTACAGTACAACAGGATGACCATCCTGTTTCAGTATTAACCCTGACTGCTCAATTTGTGGACCAAAATCGCTTCCAAAATTTTTTTTTCATATTTTAAATCTATATATATTGGAGAATTGAAAAATGCACTTTTTCTTTCTAGAAAATATTTTTTATATAGATTTTTATCATGAGAAACAGTTGCCAGAGAAACAAATTTCAGATGTTATTACAACATAAAAAATCTTTTTAAAAATAAATTTCAGTCAAACTACAGTTAATTTCTATTCATTGCATAATATAAAAGGTAAAATGTACAAAATTTAAGAAAATATAAAGCACTGAGGAAAAAATACCTTAGATATGCAGTTTAGTATGATAGAGTTCAAAACAGGGTTCAAGGCAAAGTCCAACTTCACAGTCTTTGCACCAAATTCAATAAATCTAATTAATAATCAATCTAGTTATTAATCTAATTAATAATTCAATAATTTTTTTCTAGAAGCCATTTCTATAAGAAAAAAAGCAGCAAAAAGTGAAGTTTGAGCGGTAATACCATGTGCCTTCAAATGCCGTGATTTAGTGGACAACTAACGATATCTGATGGCCAAAACGTAAACTAAACGTCTTATACTGTATATAATTTATTTCAATGGTTAAATGGGGAAAAAATGGGATGCGGTCCTCAATAAAGGAAAACACATGCCCGTGGAAATCGAGGGATGAGCAAATTTTGTTACACTTGAGTTTGGTTGGTTTGGTTTATTTAATTACGGCAAAGCACACTAGAGGTATCTGCCTAAGGGGAGGGATGCTTTCGTGGAGGACTTTATAAGGGAACTGGCTTGTATACACGTTACACATGGAGAAAACCACGAAAACAGCCATGCAGCCAGCCTGTTTGCAGGATTCGAACCTCGGACCGAACTACCAGTGTTCAGCCACTTTACCGCTCGGTTGCTGGCGGGCTTGTTACATTTGAGTTGCCCGTGGAAATTGCAGGATGAGCAGGCAGAGGGTTAAATGCATATACATCTATTTTCAAAATTTTATCAGCATTCCATTTGCAATATATTTCTAATAATCATTAGAGGCAGTTGACTTTTGCTTGTCACCAGGTTTGAACACTTCGAGATTTCAAGCAGTTACAGAAAAACTGATAAGTGTACTAAAATAAAAGAATGGAAAAACTTTGTATATCATGCAACTATTAGTTCATCATTCACTAACATAAAATAAATGCAAGTCTCTGCAATAAAAAAGATAAAATTTACTAATATGGAAAGAAACCTTTACAGATTTAACATGCCACCATTTCCCAAATGAAAAAAAGCATAGAGATTTACAGATTAATCATACTGGCACAGAATGAGCTTTAGTACATATTGTGCTACTGCAATAATCTCACAGTTCACACTAGCAATGAATTTAAGTGTTGATTAAAACTTTGGTATCAGCTTATAAGCATATTATGACACTGATGAATACACATGAAGATCATGTGAAAAGTTTGTCGATCTAGTAAATCATGTATGGCAGCTTGTAATAAAACATAACTTCCATTCTCTTTTTTCACATTAGTTTATTGCAATATTAAAAGTCTTAAATAGCAAATTAAATTCTAAACAAAGTGCAAGTTGTACTGAATCTTTCGCAAGCCTAACACAATTTTAATACTTCAAATATTTCCTAATACAACACAATACATACAGAGCTACATTATTCATATTATAAATATGATTGCAATAGTGGATGACAGAAAAATTTTATGATTATTATTCATTATTGCATAGGCTAAACACGAAGCCAAGTTGTATAGTCCGTATTTCAAAGAACCGCCATCTTACTGCTGTTGTGTTATCACTATATTAACTTTGCACCCATAAAAGAAAATTAATTTTATCATCATCTTTCCTTTCCAGCTTTCTCATGTTGGCATAAATAAAACTATATAAATAAAACATATGATAATTTTAAACCTACTGTCGGATAGACTACACCCTAAAGAGACAATGTAAACGTATTATTCTGATTAATACAGTAAAATACATATATTCTCCATGATTTTTCTCTTAAAGTATTTTGCCTCTCCAGCTTAAACTATTGTAAGAATAAGCATAAAAAATTGGGAAACTTTGTATATACTATTAACAATACAGCTTCTGCTCATAGCAGTCTAGTTCAAGTTTCACTGGAGCCAATAATCTCTGTACATTTCTAATGTTAACCACTCTTTCAAAAACCTTAAAAGTATATTTATGTTTTATTCTAATATGGTCTTTCTTATCCTCCAACAAATGCAAATGATAAAACCCCGAAAATTTATTGTTAGAAGGCATGCAAAAAGTTTTCTAAGTTGTGATACTTTATAGTATGGTGATATAAATATGCCAAAATTAGGTGCTGATGTTTAATGTTATGACTTGACAAAAAGTAACTGTTGGTATTTGTGTTATTTTGACTACCATGTAAGCTTAAAAACAAAGGAGATTTCATCTGAAACTACTGTCACTTACATACTGTAACTCCTGATCCTGTATAATATTTATGATTTGTATCCAGTGCTTCCCCCCCCAAAAATAAACCCCACTGAAGTTAATACAAAAAGAACTAAATTATATTATATGGGATTCAGGACTGTCCTTGAAATAAACTACAGACCTCCAAGTTTAGTGAAAAAAAGTGTCTGTACAAAGTCACTACTAGTAAAACTTTATACAGTTCTATTCTGAAGGTGATCTCACTTTCTGTAACTATGTTAACAGTATTAAAGGCATCATATACAATCAAAATGAAAGGTATTTATTTATAGATTTTCCAATAATCAGATTCTTATTCAATGGCAGACAATATATATTTAAATTGTGTATATCAGTCAATGTTAATTTTTAAAAGTCAGTAGAAAAGGAAAAGAATTATCATCCATTAAAACTGAAAAATAAACTCATAACTTGAGATTGTTCATCAAAATTCCAAATGCTGTTATTAAAAAAAAAAAACATGGAACTGCATTAATGACCTCATCACATTCATACATTTTGAAGTGATCATTGCTTTAAGGGAACTGCAACCACACATCAATAAATTTTGCTATTTTCTCTCTGTTAGTGAGACTTATCAGATGATATAAGAATTGTCTGTGAAAGTACCAAGTGTGTCTGTGAATTACCAAATATAAGACAAGAAATCTTTAAAATAAGCAATTTCAATTACTCAAGACATATTTTGATAATATATACTGATCTAATACATGAAAGTCTTTCAGCAGCTTTAATTCTTTTTTAGTGCGAAAAATATTTTCTAAATACCTTATTTCCTCACTATACTGCATTTATAGTCTATTTAGTCTTTGTCAATATTCCACCAAATGCTGTAAACACACACACGCAAGCACGCACACATACACACACACACACACACACACACACAACAAAACAAAAAAAAAAAAAAAAAAAAAAAAAACTGAACTAGTTGTCGGAAAAGAAAAATAGCATAATCAACTAAAGATATATTAAACATAGAACAATATATGTGTATATAACTAGTAGAGCAAAATAAGAAAAATTACCAGCCACAGCATTAATTCTTATCTGTCTTAGCCTTAAATTAACTTCTTCAGGAGGCACTCCATTATATCTCTCTTTAATTTCTTGAAAATATCCAACATAACGATTCTATAAGAGTCACATTTTAGAACACATACATACATTTTACTCTTAGAAATGTACTTAAGACTTCAGAAGCTCTAATAATATTCAGCTACCTGGCTCGGAGTTTCAACTCCTTGAAATTTACTACTTTTTGAGAGATCAGTGCGTCGATTTCCAAAGTAATCCAGACTAGCCTAAAGAAAAGAAAGGTTAAGTTTAATTTAACCAAGTATACAAATCTAAAACACTTTCTCCAAAGTCCTAGATATTTTCACTGCATATTAATAAAAAATTAATAATCACTCCTAATGTTGAATTGACATAAAGCAGAATATGGTAAACCAGTAGCCAGTATGCACGCAGTATAAAATGGATCCATAATCTTTACCTAGCTCCTCTCAAAAATAAGCATTTCCAAATTAAACATGTTCCTGTCCCAATGCACATCGCATTAGATAGGCTGTATTTCAGATCGGCCAAGACAAAGTAGGTATAGATGTAGAAAAAATTATACTCAGAATTTCTGAATTCCGGTAAAGTCATACCTACAGTGGTTTATTGCCAGTAACTTGGAACATTTGAAGAAAAACACATTTGCCAAAATGAGAAAAGTTTCTTTTGCCATATAAGGAAAGAAAAATTTGGCAAAATGTCACCATAACCAACTCCCAAATAATGAACCATCCTACGAAGGTACCTCCTGATTACCATATCTCTTAAAGTCAGCAGAATCACTGTGCTGGAAAGCAAATGAACATAGTAGATGCTGGATTTCGTATAGGTAAATCTAAGCATTTTATGAGAAGTTGATTCAAAATTATGATGCAAATAAACTCATAACAAAAACGTATTTACATACTACCTCGAGTATAAAAGGAACTTCATATTTTCTCATTCAATGGCAGACAATATATATTTAAATTGTGTATATCAGTCAATGTTTTGTTTTTAAAAGTCAGTAGGAAAGGAAAATAATTATCATCCATTAAAAGGGAAAATTATAACTTGAGATTGATCATCAAAATTGGAAATGCTGTTATTAAGTAAAACGGAGACTGCATTAATGATCTCACCACATTTATACACCTTAAATCAGAAAAGTAATAATGATGTAACATTATGAACTGAGGAAAGAACAATGCTTGTACCAAAATATACATGGCTTAAAAAGGAGAGAAAATTCCACCTCGAAAATGCTAAAGATCTGCAAGTATCCAGTCTTCAAATCTAACCAAAGACCTACGACTAACATATCAGCATGCAGTGGTGAAAAAAATCAATTCGTTAAGTTCTATGCCAGAATTTTTACTGATGTGATTTATACACAAGAACAATAAATAATGGTGCCATGCATGCCTGTTCTAACCCAGAGATTAGAACTGAGGAGATAGCAGACAAACTTATACTCAATTCTACATTTTGGCATTTCTAGAAATTTAGGTTAGGTTTGGTTTACATAATTACAGCAAAGCCTCGAGGGCTATTTGCCTAAGGTGAGAGATGCCTCCGTGGAGGACTTTCCAAGGGGAAACTGGCTCGTATACACATTACACCTTGGGGAAAACATGAAAGCGCCCATGCAGCCAGCTCGTTTGTAGGATTCAAACCTCAGACCGAATTACCAGTGTTCAGCGACTTTACGCTTGGCCATTGGTGGGCCCTATACAAATTTAGGAGTCACTTCCAAGTTTGACATATGGATCCTGTATTATAAAGGAATAAAACAGATCATATCTTTGCATAGTTGCCACGAAACACAGGTTTGTAGATGTCATAACAGGCATAGAAAAGTAGACCCAGGATAAGAACACGCACTGCAAAAGAAGCTGAATACAAATTTTCAAAATTTTAGACAAGAATATGCTAGCAATTCTTTAAATGGAGGCCAGATTTCAATCGTATATCCTCTTAACATCTCATAACTAAAATAAATTCCTCAAAGATACAATTCAAAGGTTTCAAGTAGACGGAATGGCTAGCCACAATCCCTAGATACAATACAGCGGCTTAGTTTGAAAACAATGTGCAAATGAGTCTTGGAGACATAGAAAGTAATTTCACTAATAATACTTATGAAAAACTTAAGAAAACCAGACTTCAGTGATTGTGTTTTGTCAAAGTCTTTCTCATACTCCCCCAAGATTCATGAATTTCAGAATTAGTGGCAAAGCACACTAGGGCTATCTGCCTAAAGGGAGGAATGCCTTCGTGGAGGACTTTCTAAGGGGAACTGGCTCATATACAGGTTACACATGGGGAAAACCACGAAAACGCCCATGCAGTCACCCGTTCGCAGGATTCAAACCTCGGACCGAACTACCAGTGTTCAGTGACTTTATCGCTCGGCCCCTCGTGGGCCTTTCAGAATTAGTCATTTCTGACTTCAAATTAAGAGAAGGGGGAATGTTTTAATAAGGGAAAATGAGGGGGGACAGAAAATGCAATGTTGTTTTACAGTGTTCAAAACAATGATATTTGCAAAAACTTATTAAACTAAGTAACTCATTAAAATTTCACCCAGTAATTACCTATGTTATACTTCATGATAAAGTACTACTATACAATTAGTACATGCAATGGGTGTACTAATTTATTTCTTTTTTACACATATTCGATTTGTAAGCAATATTTCATTATTTTAAATTATGTTCTTACTTCTTTTTATTAATACTTTTCTCCCTTTTTTGAATTGGAGGGAGGGTTATATTGAGATGCAAATATAATCATGTTCCAAATAACCAAATGCAAATCCTCTATAATTCAGAATTGTATTATGTTATTTTTATTTCTTTGTCGTTCAATTTACCTTTCTGTTATATTTTCAAGTCACATGACAATTTTCAAAAAATACTCTACAGATGCATGTCAAGTATGAAAATTGCAAATTTCTAAAGCAACAGGCAGAGATCAAATAGAAAATGAATTACTTCAGCACTACCAAATAAGCCGGCTTCAACAAGCCAAACACAAATCATAGTTCCAGTTCTTCCCTTTCCACCTTTGCAATGTACAGCAATAACGTTACATTTATCTTGATTCAGCCACTCACGAACATTCTTCACAAATCGAACCATATCCCTGAAAGAGAATACAAATAAGATTTTTCAGATGAGAACTGTATGAAATAGCATACATAAGAAAGTTCAAGGCAAATATTAAATAGCTTTTCCCCTCTATCAAATAATTACATAGGATTATTACCTACACATATAGAAACACATTTTTGATACATACTTCACAGATGGCACATTATGGTCATCAATGATGAACCTTTCTACTCGTCCATGAAAATACGTGTCATCATATGTTTTTTCACCTTCAAAAAATGAAATTAGATAATATATGCACATACCATTTTCAAAAATAGTTTTAGTTGCAACTTATAAATTTATAAAACACCTAAGTATCAAAACATACATACTACACAGGTTGTAAACCTTATAATGATCTTTGTGCTTGAAGTCCAGAAAACGTGCCACCTCCTACAAAATCAATATATTAACTTATGCATATTTATTTATATGATTGATTAAACATATTATACAGTTTAATCAATAAAACTTGCCTTTATGGGATTTCGATACAAAGACATCTTCCCATATGAAGGAAAAGACATGGCAATCACTCTCTCTGCAATTAAAAAAAAATTGAGGTTAGAACAAAATTCTGTATGAAGATCGTACAAAAACCTTCACACAAGTCTCTTTTACAGATATCTGCAAAAACAAAGAGATGACTTGAATCATTATAACTGGAAAAATTATGCTTATCATCTGAAGTAGGATTAACAAGATTGTAAAGTAGGGTTAACAAGAACTAAAAGATGAACCTGATTTGTCAGGAACTGAAAATTTAACACATCCTGATTTCAAAATCTGAAAATACACGAACATTTTTTCAAGATGAACAGAGCCTTCAAAGAAATTAATCAATTCTGAAGAGCTGAAATAATTTTGTTTTTGAGTGTTAAAAGATTGTAACAATTTGTAACAATTATTTAGCATTTTGAAAATACCTTAGCAGGAAAACGGCTTCCAAGGCTGAAAATAAATAAACCAGAATTCTTTCTATTAGTTTATATCTACGGTGGTGTTCATAATTAACAGAAGTTGCAATTTTTTCAAAAAAAAAAAAAAAAAAAATACGGAACTAAAGATACAAATTACGCTTTGACGCAAATGCTGTAAATCTTTAGTATCGAATACAGGGTTGATCCACTCTGATACTGATTCACTTTACTGCACGAATGATTACCACTCGAGCAAAAATGGAATAGTAGTTCTTTAACAATTCAGCGAGAGCTGTTCATTCAGCTGGAAGCATGTCAAAACATTTGATTTCCTCTTAATGTAAGCACTAGAACTTTTTTCTTTATTAATTACTAGAAATGTCTCTGACCTACTTTTTATGTGTTGTATGTGTTTCAGGTATCTATAGATGCCTTTGATTAGCATGTATTTCATTTAGTATTTAAAAAACAAAACATTAAATAAACCGATTCATCTCAGGGAAACTGACCCCCATTTGCAAATGGACAGAGTTTATTTTTTTGGCCCCATCCGGCAGCGTTTGGATCTGTGAAGTATATAGATTATAGGAGCTAGTTCTTCAGATTCTCGGCTGTAAGCATTTCAGTGCTAGCCATAGATTGGGATCCTTCGGAGTCATGATTTTCATTGCTCTTGCTCTTATCTGCAGATCTGCTTCTGGCAGAGTCTTTTCTTTTGATTGCTCTTGCTATAGCCACAAATCTGGCTCCTGTGGAGTCTTGATTTTCGGAGCTGTTCATTCGAGTTTCATTACGATTCTTTGAATGCTGTGTAATAGTATAGTTATGTAAGGTCTTACCCTTTTTTATACAATATTTATGTAAAATAATAAATTATATTTTTATTTATTTACTTATTTTACTAATGTCTTGTAATCAAGAACTGCAAATTTCTCTTTAATCTTTTTAAGAATTAGTACATATTTATAGCTTAATTTATAAATTATTCTGAATATTAATTAATATATTCTGAAGCTTAAATTTAATAGCAGATTTAAAATTTTTTACATAAAAATTTATTCCAGACAATGATAGTGGTAGTGGGTTTCCTGGTGCAAAACTTCTTCAGTTATAAGCGCCGATACACGCATCAAACCTCTTAAACACAAATAGATGTATAAACAAGATAAAAATCACAAGAATAGCAAAAATTTACAATGATAAAGGTGATCTAAAATGATAATGATTACAGTGATAAAATGATGAAATGCTTAAAATAAACAACTACACACATCACATAATTTCCTCAAATAAAAACAAGACTAAATCATCAAAAATGGGATATATTAAAATACTTATTATTAAAACAATAAGGTAGAATATCAAAATCAAATTAAATTAAACATCTGTCTCTTTTAAGTACTGGAACAAATTTGGATTGACCTTGTTCCCAAAGATATGGTCCACAGGCAAATCACATTTCTTAAAAAGTTTCAAATGAAGACTTAAAATATGGACACTCTAATAAGGATGAACTGGCAATACAGCAAAGCAGTTTAGGCATATTGGTTCACTCTCACCTTTTAACAGATACCTGAGTAATATGCGAGTGACCGATCCTCAGACGGATCAACGAAACTTCCCCCCTTTTGGTTCTTAGTGGGCTCCCAGCATTCACTTTTTGGTTTGACTCTTCTCAGCTTATTTTATAGCTAGACATCCCAGATTTCCTTCTATTTGATCAACAATTTGTCCTTAATGACTTGACGGATATCATTATTGGGGATGAGGAGATGTACAAGATGAACTGCAGATTTGGCTGCAATGTCTGCTAGCTCATTCCCATTTATAACCACATGTTCTCGAACCCAATAATAAAGGATGCGATACCCACATCTTCTTAATTTGAGATCAAGGCTTAAAATGTCAACAACCATGGGATTCGGAGCACTATAACATGAATGTAAGATTCCAAAGCACTAAATGAGTCTATATATAATGAACTGTCTTTAACCTTTTAACTGTCATGCCCGAGACACTGGTGTTCGAAAATGTCACGCCCGAGTATTTCTCGGGGTAATTTTTTTTTTTTTTTTGAGTGCATCGTATTGTCATACCCGAATATATATCGGGAGATGTTTATTTCGGCTTCATCTCTTTGTCAAACCCGACTGTATCTTGGGTAAAGTTAATGTGCGCTCAATTCAATAGATGACAGCACTTTACTGAAGATTTCAAAGGTTGGAGGTTATAAATTCTTTGGTTCAAAGTGCACGGGATCTTTTTGTTGTAAAATGGCATCCAGTTCTTTGAAACGATATAGATGATTTAGATTCTTCAACCGAAGATGAAGAATGTGTGTTTGATGAGCAGTATTTATGATACTTCCATGGTCAGCCTCAAAAATAAAAAAAAAAAAAATGAAGATATACTCAAGCCGAAGATTGTTTCTGACTACAGTCTAACTATGGGTGGTGTAGATCACTGTGATTAGGAAATATCCTTTCATCCAACAATCCGAAAACGTCAGAAAAATATTATAAAAAGATATTTTTACATTTACTAGACAAGGTACTTTGGAACTGATATTTGCTCTATAAAAATGCAGTTGAAAAACGTATTACATTTTTAAAATTTCGAATCCAAGTTGTAGAAGAGCTTTTACATAAATATGATGATGCAGCTTCTGGACAAAAGAATGTTGGCAGACCTCTACAAGGGATAACCCTGCCTCGTCTTACTGAATGACATTTTATTTCTCATCCTCCTACTCCTGTAAAACGTGAGCCTACGAGACAGTGCACAAAGTGTGGTGTTCGAAAAAGGATAAAAATGGGGGAAAGATAAGGAAGGAAACACGACTCCAGTGTATTGTGATGTTGGAGTTGGTTTGTGCTTGGAAAAGTTTTTCCAGTTGTACCACACAAGACTGAATTACTGAACTACTAATAGGTATTTACTTTTATTTACTTTTTAGAAAATAATTAATTTTTTTCATTTTAAAAAAATAATGCTCATCATGTTGAGTGGCAACCGCCTCAAGCAAAATATGCAGTGGCTACAAAACTAAAAATTTTACCCATGTACTTCAAAATATCAATTTTTAACTACTTAAGTATATTTTATTTGGTACTAAACATTTGGTTTTTCCAATAAAAAAATTTGACAATTTGTGTACCCAAATCATCAAAATAACTTGACAGTTAAAGGGTTAATGTAGCTTAGAAATAAATCAAAGCACATAATATACAGCTTTTAATTCTGAGGTGAACACGGGGCAGGCATCATGCAGTCTTTTACCCTCTGTGTGGTCTTCAATAATAAAGGATGCTTTCTTCCCAAAATGCTGGAAATCATCTAGAAGACGAATCTGACCATCCTCCCAAGGTGAGAATTTGAAATGCTTTACTGCCTGGGTAGAGATATGTGTAATGTGGTATTTCTTGATAAGAGAGTTAACTACAAGTGAGAAATAAGGCACATGGGATGGTCTGGCATCAAACAAGAATTTGTAACTGTCATCGATTAAAGGAACGTGGTTTGGATGGTCAGGAAGTGACATAACATTGAAATAGTAGCAGAGAGACAACTGATCATCTCTTAACTGAAGCAATGGCTCATGGCAGTCAGTATAGAGATTCTGGACTGGAGATGTTCTAAATGCACCAGAAGATATATGCAGCACCTGATTAATGAACAGAAGCTAGTTTTAGTAACATGGAAGGCCTTGCAGAACCATAAACAACTGAACTGTAATCAAGTTTAGAGCATATAAATGCTAAACCGAATTACTGAGTAACAGTCCGCGCCCCAGGAGGTGTTTGCCAGGGCATTCAAATGATTCAGTCTCTTCAAACACTTCTTCCTTAGCTACAGGATGTGTGGAAGGAAGGTCAATTTTCGGTCGAACAACAGTCCTAAAAATTTTACTTCGGGTTCCACTGGAATCATTGATTCTCTGAGATGTAGTTCAGGGTCAGGACGAATGTTACGCTTTCTGCAAAAATGTACACATACAAGTCTTCTGTTTTGAAAAATATTAATCCTTCTTTCTTTGACCAATGCTCGATTATATTAAGACCAATTTGCAGCTGTCCCTCTACATATCTCATATCTGCACCTTGACAGCATATTGTGAAGGCCACCAACATATAAAGAACCCGAAACCATAGGAGTTAAGTTTTTTTTAGAACAGAATTAATTTTCAAGTTGAACAAAGTAACAGCACACAGCCTTGACGCCCACTCTCTTCTTGAAAGAATACATCTGAGACTACAGAGCTAATTTTCACTTAAAAAGCCCTACCCTTCAAGAAATTTTGCAAAGATATTGGCAAGTAGCCACATAATACAATGGTGTGAAGATGAAGCAAAATCCCATGCCTTGTCATTTACCTTTTCTATGTCAAAAAACACATGGTTGGTCACACTAGATGGTTTCTTTTGACAAAGGCTTTATGAATGGAGGTTTCCAAAAGGAGCATATTATCCAAATTCGTTCTGCCTCACTTTGATATGGGAAAATTACACTGTTCTTTTCTAAATAAAGACTAAGTGGCAGTTCACCATTTTCTCAAAAAGCTTTCAGATGCAGCTTGCAAGGGCAATGGGTCTGTAGTTGTTGGGATTCTTTGAATCTTTCCCTGGCTTATGTATAGGACTGACAACAGCTTTCTTCCATGCATAGGGGAAGTTATGCTCTTTTCCACACCCAATTATACAAAGTGAGAAGGGCACTCAATGAATTACAGGAAAGATGCTTCAGCATTTCGTAACTAATGCCATCTGGACCTGGGCATGATCTATGTATCTGTAAGAAAGCTCTCCTTAATTCCAGCAAGGAACATTTACAGTTATAAGTTGTCAAAGTTGAACTTAATGAGAAAATCTTCAGCACATTGCTTAATGGACAGAAATGACAGGGAAAAATTTTGGCCATTAGAGATGGCAGCAAATATTTTACCAAGAGTATTTGCAATTTTTCCTGCAGCACTGATGGCTTGGTCTGTGCTTTTTCCAGGATGGAAAATAAGTGGTCTTGGTATATTCCATATGCTAACTCTTTCCCATACTCGTTTACTGGGTATTGAGGGCATTATTCCAGACACATTCGATATCCAGGAATCCCTCTTAATATGCCGTCATACTTTTCATGCATTTGCTTTGGCTTTTTTGAAAGCAATAAGATTTGATAGAGTGGAACATCTTCAAAAATGTCTCCAGGCTTTTCTCGGTTTTCTGAGAGTTTCCTGGCATCCGTGGTTCCACCATGTTTTTAGGTATTTTGAAGGCTTTGGAGAGGTCAAAGGTTTAGAAGCTGTAGCTGCTTGGATGATAATGTCAGTAATGCCTTTTACTGCATTACTGATCGGCATGTCATTTACAACTCCTTCTGCGAGTTGGGCAAGACAGGAGGAAAGTTCCCAGTCCGTCTTTTCGAACATACAGCTGAGGGCCTTATGACGGAATTATTTTTCTTCTCTTGTAAATGTTACAAATATACGGAAATGATCACTGTTGTGAGGATCGTCCCCCAACACTAAATGTTCAGAAGGGCAACACAGATGGTAAGCAGACGGGAAGGTGAAGAGCATGAAACGTTCTTGTTGGCTCATGGAAGCATGTAATCCTGACCACTATTGAGGAAACAAAGGCAATGATCTTGAAACAACTGCTCGATTTGTCTACCTCGAGGATTTGTATCACTACTTCCCCAAAGCTGACTATGTCCATTAAGTCTCCAATAATAATAAATGGCTCTGGCAACTGCTCTATCAACTCATCCAGTTCTCTCTGATCGATAGCTTCATTTGAAGGCAGATATACAGAAACTAATCCTTTAATATTAGCCTGCATAGCAACCACTTTAAGGGATGTTGCTGACGCAAGGACAGTCGATGGAGAGTCATGTGAGGTGAGACGGCCTACATCCCCACAGACATGTTCATTAACAACATCGTCCTTTCTCGTAAAAGAATACCTCCTAACTCTAACTTATTATCAACTTTCAGAAACATTTCTTGCAAAGTGAAGCCCATAGGTTGATAAACATCAATCACGTTCTTGATGTTCAAGAGACGCATTCACTAACATCGTCCTTTCTTGTAAAAGAATACCTCCTAACCCTGACTTATTATCAACTTCTAGAAATATTTCTTGCAAAGTGAAGCCCACAGGTTCAGAAACATCAATCATGTTCTTGATGTTCAAGAGGCCCTGGTGAAAACCACAACAATTCCATGAGATAAGGTTGGCCAATATGAATGTTTGTTTTACCTATGCTGCTTCTTTGTCTGTCGTGAAAGGAGACTTTTTGGAAGTTCCAATCCTGCCTCAACTTCCATATCACAATCCGAGCTCATACATTTGAGGGAGCTGTGACTTTGACTCCCAGGTTTAATGTTTTGATTTTCTGTTTTTTGTTTGTGTTAGAATGGTTTTCCTTAGTTGTATTTTTTTTATTTAATATGCTTTTAATTGAGATAATATTTCCTGATATATTTTAGTTGTGTTAGTCTGTATTGGTTTGTTCTTATTTCAATTTTCTGATTCATTATTTTCTTTTCTGCATACAAGGGTCAGATTGGTTTGTATTCCGATGGATTTTACAGATTTGCAGCAACGTCAGTAAAAGAGACATTCAAATGTGGCTGTGCACTAGCGATAAATTTTCTAGCCTCTGTCTACATAGGTGATATTTCTAGCAACTTTCAACGACTCTACTTCCTTCTCGGCTTTCCATTTTGGACATGAATGTGAAAATGCCGTGCGCTCTCCCTTACAGTTGATCCACTGTAGCACAGAATTACAGTTATCACTGTTGTGGCCCTTCACGGAGCAGTGTGCATATTTGTCTTACCTCGACAGGACGTTTTGGAGTGGCCAAAGTGCTAGCACTGGAAACATTGCATGGGATTCAAGATGCACTCTTAGTGGGAAATGAAGATATCCGGCCTTTACGCTTTGGGGCAGATCAGGCGAACTGAAGGTCAGGATGACATGTTTGCTATCAACTGACCCTCTTTATGCATCTTAATCTGCTTAGCAGCACAGACATTCTGACTGGAAAGTTCTGTGAGGAATTCTTCCTCTGAAACAGAAAGAAGATCCAGTTCCGAGATAACTTCATGACAGTAAGTTAGAGTTTTGTGTGCTGAAGCACTAACATCCAGGTTTCCAAGTCTGGTTATGCCAAGAAGTGTTACAGCCTGAATAGAAGATATGGTTTCTTTAAAAGGGCATCGGAACGCAGCTGCTTCATAAAATTTGGTTCTCCAGCAATTCCTTGAACATATTGTTTATTAAAAATGGTGACTTTTTTTCAGTTTGCCTGTTGGATCATTAGTTACAACAAAACAAGGTTGAATCTTGGATTGAATAGCACTCATATTTACACTTGTTTTCACTTTTTTGAGGCATAATTGTGTTCTTTTGCAGTTTGTAAATTTGAGAGAGCTATAACTGAAAGATAAAAGATTTGGGTTCAATGGCCCCACCCAACATGGAGCCCAACAAGGAAACACAGAATCCCGTGTTAGGGCTAGCCAGACCTATATGCAAACCCTCCTTTGCTGTGACACAGGTCTCTATGCACGGCAAACATGTAGGCAGTATTCTCGCTACTCAAAAACTAGAAACAAAGGCTGTTTCAGTTCCTTGTGACGAGCCCCAACCTACAAAGAGAAAAACCACAAGGGAGAAGGGAAGAAAGTTTCAGCGTAGAGGAAAGGAGACGGAAGAGAGCATAGATCACTACGGCTCCAGAATTGTGATATCTGTCTCACTAAGAAGATGATCTCCTGATGGGCTACGGTACCTCGGGGTTGTCACACCCATACCCACAAAAGTGAGCCCCCTGAGGGATACAAACAATTAATTGCTTAATTCTTCGCAAAATTCTACATATTCTATATAATTTAGAAATAATAATTATTTTAGAAAATCATAATAAATCAGTAATTATTATGAATTATTATTTTAGAAAGTTACATTATATTTTCATACCAGTCACATACGTCAGATCCAAATCAAAGCCATCTTTTTGGTATCTGCGTTTGTTCTGTGAAACCATCTGGCGTGCTCCTTTTACTAGATGTTTCCGCTCCGTATATAGTCTGACAAAAGTGACAATGCGTATTAAACGGCCAGCAACTACTAGTCTAAAAAAAAATTTTTTTTTTAGTATTGTGTTTGCATTATAACAAAATGTATTACTATGATAAAAAGATTAATAAAGATTTACTTGGCATATCCAAAACCCAGGTCAACTGAAGTATAAATGACAGTGACAATGAAGGAAATAATTACTACAACCAGGTCAACAACGTTAAACCACTCATTGAAGAAATGCTTTGGACTGAAAAGTAATATATGAAGCTATAATGAAAAATACAAACTATATAAAAGAAAGTATGCAAAGCATGAGGGGGGAATCACACCAAAATACCTGTATTGAAATTTTAGGTATTATATTTTGATTCGAATGTAAACATAGTTAATCATTTATCATAGTTGGAATTAATAGCTGGAATTTAAATTTTATGCATTAAAGGATTCAAAATATTAAAATCTTTTTTTTATTTAATTACCCTATTCAGAGTCAGATAGAAAGGATGCTTTAATTTTTAAAATAAATTATAGTTTAATATATTATGTTATATTAAACACTAAAAATGACAATGGTGCAAGCAACTTGACACATTTCAAAAAGCAATGAATTTATAAACATTTTACAGGAAACTCAATTTAAAAAATATGAGATAAGCATTAAATGTTTAACCACACCAAAAACACAAAAGTATTTACTTACACAACCACAAATAATTTGTTTGAGCGCACCTGATATGATTACATAGAGGTGAAATTAAAAACGATGGAGATCTAAAAATTAAAGATACATAAAGCTAGCAATAACCTTAGTTCATTAACTCACTGCAAGCCAAAGTTAATGACACAAAACATAAGTAACAAAGCAGAAAGCTATTTTATAATTCAATATTTGTAAACTAAAAGATCCTAGTCAGATATAGTCAAATTTGGCATTTATTTTGTAAAATTTGATTTTTTTAATCAAAAGATATATGTTATCCTTACTGCATTTATGAAAACCCTTTCATGAATGCTTAAAGTTTGATATATTTTTATAAATACTTATCAGCTCATATCTTTATAGCTGTGTTGCATCTCTTCTTCTAAGTGACAGCATATTAGTTATTGTCGGTAAACTGGTTTGATCATGGATTAGAATGCTAACTGCATTAAGAAAAATACCTTTTGTAAGGGCACTGATTTGTGTTCATGTTACATGACTTGGGACAGTGATCTGCAGTAATGTTACATGGGGGAAAATACTATATATGCAGTCTATTCAATTACACTAGGGAATAAAAATCAGACCAACTAACAAATATAAGTTTATAAAATGTTCTACTTTTTATTAAGAAACTCCACGTTCACATCTAGGTTAATAATTAAGGATACACAGCCAGTAGCCATCATTTATAGACACTCTGTATACATGCTATTTATGATAAATCATAAGTTTTATTCTCTAACAGAGTAAAATTTTGATAATCCAAATACTTTGGAAAGAAAAGTTAAGTAGATTGATGAATTTTCCCTATCACAATGTCAGTTTCTCTAAGTTTTATTTATATTTCCCTCTTACTAATTTTTATATTAAATGTGGATTGTTTGCATATCAATTACCAATTAAAACTCATAACGAAAGAATTACTGAATCGAGGATTATTGAAAATACTATACTTTTTAATATAATTACGTAAAAGAAAATGTCAAGTTATTTGAATACGACAAGCATGTGAGAACTGTCTGGATAGGGGGTGAATCGCTTCCTGGAAAATTTTCTAAGGAAAACTAGCCATATTTACATTACACATGCGGAAATTGGAAAATGCAGCCATGCCATTTGCATGGCACTGAACACAAGTTGAAACTTGCAACATTCAAAGTTTTAAACTACTCAGTTGTTAATTTAGTTGGAGATATGAAATGGGGAGCTTTGGAAGTGGTGGGAGCAAAGAAATCATTTTACAAACAAACAAAAAGGTGACTTTATGGGGGATTATCCACAAATAAAATTCCAGTACTTTTTCCATTTTGCCGCCACAGGCGATAAAATCGGCAATAATGGTACAACTGGTGCCAAACGGAATACCCTTACCGGTAACCTTTTACTCCTCATTTTCAAAACAAGTAGCAGCCATTTCTTATCAGATTGATTGTTTCTTTCAATACTGGCATACAATTACATAGAATTTTTACTAGATAGTTCAATTTTATGGCCCGAGGACATTCGCGGTAATTACGTCAATTAGGATGCAATCACACTGCTTACCCGAAAGCGAAAATATACAAAAGGCAAAGGGTTAAATTCATCAATAGTAATGAGAATGCCATAGTGAAGGAAAGCACTGCAGTTTTACATAATTTCTGAGTAAGCTATTCATAAGAATTGAAATAATGCTTGCATTTAAACTTGTATTTCATTTAATTTGAATGGATAAGGCACATTTCTCCCTCGTTGGGGAGACAAACTATAAAAACTGCTTTCACAGAGCTGAATAAAATCCTTTCAATGTGGAACCAGCAGGCACCGCAAGCACATTCCTTCTTGGACTGCACTTCGAAGAGATCACTTACTGAGATATGAAAACATGCTCCACCACAAGCGCTCAGTATACAATGTTACAGAATTACATTATTTCAGAACTGCAACTGTGAGATGACATTGTATGAATACAAGATGATGCTCCTCCACATGTGTTCGGCAAGTGCTGGAACAGACTTTGGAGTGACAGTGACCTACCATAACTTTGCAGTTCCGTTGTCACAGTGATCCTCCAATCTTAATCCAATGGATTTCTGGTTTTGGGGTTATCTGAAATGAAATCCATGAGATTTGTGAGAACTGAAAGATGCCATAAAGCATGAAGTTGTACAGATTTCTTCTGCGATGTTATGGTTGTCATTGTTATCAACGATCTACCACCTGCAATGCATTATCATCTGTGAAGGTGAGCATGTTGAAAACTTGTAATTCAAATATTTTTTTTTCTCTCTCCTCTCTTTGCATACACTTTATGCCAGCAGTTTTTAATCATATATACACCATTCCAATCGCATTTATGGTTTTTCAATATACTGATCAATTTGCACGGGAGAAAAGTGGATGTTATCATTTGAAAATTTAGAATTTTTTTCACTGTAACTGCAACCGTGAGAGGTCTCTAACTTTAACTCATCACAATCTCAAATGCACACCTTCAAATAAAAATATCTGAAATTTCAATTTGATTGGTTGAGTGGGTAGCCCACTGCTAGGGGTTCACATATCAAAAAAATATTTTTATGACTACTCTGCATACAAGAGTTGTTAAAAAATGTAAAAAGGTTTGAAAAAGATATGTATCAAACAACTGGTGGTATGTAGTTGTAATACAACAACAATGTATAACATAATAATATACTGACAATGACAATAGTGGCATCTATTGAAAAAACAATTTATTCACATGCAAGAAGCTAACTGCATATGACAAAGACAACTATTTGGCATATTCTTCAGCAACAGAATCTATTAAGTACTGTTTTCAAGGCTATTTTAATTGTGGCTTTAATAATGGTGGTGGCAATAATTTTCTATTCATGTCACACAGCACCATCTATATGTGGAAATTTAAGCTCAATATTTCCCTTTTGCCAAACAGTTCAACAGCATCCAAGTGGTGAAGTTAGTGGTTTTCAATTGAAATGTCAGTTTATTTTCATTTTCTTACATACATATGCACATTTAAAAATAAAATATATTATTTATGCTTGTAATATTTTTTGTAATTTCAACTTACATCAACGTTATGATGATTTTTTTAGTAGTTCAGAATGGCAATAAAAAAAACACAAGAATTCTTGGATCTCTCTGAACTACCAATCCAATAAATATGGAACTTTAGATATGTAATCAGCAAACTGGCATTTTGTAATGATATTTATGGTTTATTCTTTGATCCTGAAGACATTTTCTTTGCACTTATTTAAAGAATAAATATGGTTTTTAGTGATTTCTAATTATTTACCCCCTGGTTCCAACCTTTAGCACAACTACCATGTTCTTGGCATACATTTTAGTACACATGCAACAAAAGCCTACTAAAACATGCATGTACCACACTTGTGTTTGAATGCATTTATATACATGTTTTGTATATAAATGTTCTTCAAGCAACAGAATATAGTCTTTAAAAGGAGGATGCTTTCTGATTATCCATACTTCCTGAAAAATATTCATGAGGTTATGCAATATGCACCAAAACAGGTAACTTATGACACCGCTAAAATGCATTTATGCGGATGAGCATGGATTTCCACTTTCAAATTTGATGATTGTTATTATTTTTTGCACTGATGGCATTTTTTTCTTGCAAAATATCAAAAGTAACCTGAGTGGCTGATTAAAAAAGATGTTACTTTTCTTCAGAAATATGGCATTTTGTCTATCAGTAAAGAGTGCAAAAATTTGCATTTTGTTAATCTGTACTTCACAAACGATCAAATTCTATAGATCAAAATGAAAGGATGCTGAATTTGTGCAAGTCTTTGATTTTTTTTTAACCCTCTCAGAATTATGGAGAAATTCTGTATGGAAGAGTGGCTTTTGCATTCATTACACGTGAAAATTTCAATCAGCTTTATACTTATCCGATATCGGATTGGGTGTATATTAGAAGAAAAGAAATCAGGGTACTAAGTGAGAGAGTCGTTTCTTAATTATAATCAAGAAAATACCATTTATTCATGACATTTTGTAGAACTTTGAAATTTCAGGGCTAAACCCATAATGTTCAGAAGGTTAAGCATTCCTATGTATATCAGAACAGCAGCACAATAAAAATTACTTCAGAATTTCTTCAGAGAGGAACAAGATTATTACCGACATTTCTTGCATTTTAAAGTTCATCAACTCATTGTTCTTTTATGGAATACTTAGAGCACCAGTTTTCAAAACGGCTATTGCCTTTTGTGTTTTACCTTGATAAAAAATTAGTTACGGAGTTGCAGACAGACAGAGAGATGGTGCGAATTATCAGAAAGTACCAAAAAGGATTACAGCAATTCTAATTATTAAGAATCCTTTTTAAAATTGAGAAATCTATCAAAATATGAAATGAAACCATAATTTAGTCAACAATACCAAAAACTGCAAAAGGAACTTGCTGAATAGAAAATGTAAACAGTTTGAAAATCTAATTTGCAACATTAGAACTGATAAGCACATATCCTAGTATAAACATTCTGCTAAAATTTTGATACAAATAAACTATGTTTGCTTTAAAGACTGCAGTTTAACTTCTGGTGAATATATATATTTGCTTTTTATATCTGTAAAATTAATTATATGGCCTTCAAGACAAACATTAAATGGCAGCATTCTGTTCAGGCTATTACAAAACAGCTGAATCACCATCATGTCAGTTATTTATGAAAATTTCCTACATTATTTTATTCACTAGGCATTTTAAGGGATTTAATTTCACTTGAATTATACGAAAAATGGCATTCATGATTGCCCACTAGAAAACCCCAAAATTATAAAAGGATGACAACCATTGTAACAAATTTAAAGAAAACAAAACATTATTAGCACTTAAATGCTGTGTTAATGGAGCAGCATCCACATCTGAAAATAGTTTACCGATTTCTAATAAAATAAATAATTAAAGTTTTAAAACAATATCAATACAACTGCAAAATAAAAGTATCATAATTATTAATATGAAAAAGTTAAGCTTACTCACTAGTTAATATGGACTAAAAGAGTAGGTATAAACATGTGTGTAGGAAGAAGGGAGAGATTGCACTGGGCTTTTTTTAAAAATTAGTATATCTTGCATTGATAAATATACAAGAACTTTTGAGAGAACAGTTATTTCATATAAATATGTCTCACAAAGTTTTAAAGAATACTATTTGATAACAATAAAAGGCATTCACAGACAGATAAGATCCCCAGAAATGTTAATTGCTTTTCCTTCAAGTTCAGATGGAAATATTTTATAACACCAGCTAAAAATGGTAAAATACTTCAACGTTGATCATACAAAACACCAAGAGGTTTTTGATACATTGAATTCACAGTCACCCTCCCTTTTGGAAATTCTGAAACATTTTAACAACAACAACAAAAAAAAAAAAAAAAAAAAAAAAAAAAACTGTAATTAAGTGATAAAACACAAATTTTGCTGAACTATTAAACATTATAAATGGTACCCATAAAATTTTAAAATCCTTCTCTTATTATTTTAAAATTATGTTTTACTACTGTTTCTTGCCAAAGTTGTGAAAACTCAATAGTTAAGATCTTTATATGTATTAAGTTTTCAGAACATCTAAATTGCAAGCAAACAGATAATTGTAAGAATACTACATACAGTGTGTTAAAATTTTTATATTCAAGGTTATGCAAAGTGAGATAAAATGAAAAATTATTAAAATTTGATAAGTAGTAAATATTTAAACACATCAATATTTTCAATTAAAAAGATGTATGCAAAAAACAATAGATAAACATGTAAAAAGATAAAAATTGCACTCTGTTGACTTCTTTCGAAAGGCCCTAAATAATTATTACATACCCCTTTGCGAGAACACGAAGAAAAACTTCAAAAAGGAAATAACAAACAAAACATAATGCAGTAACTTCAAAAGCTTTATCTTGATCATCAGTTTTATCTGTCATAGCCAAAGCAGCAATCAAAACACAAATGTCAGTAAGAATCAACAATAAACTAAAAACTCTGTAAATGAAAAAAAATATATATATATAAAAGAACTGTAAACTACAACTACTATGTACAATAATAGCAAGCTTTAAAAAAAAAAAAAAAAAAACTAACTACCTGAAAATTAAGTGCTCTATTATTCTCTTCAATTGGAATTGTATAAATCTATAAGGTTAAAAAGAAAATATTTTACTTTTTTAGTGTAAAATTCCCAAGCCTGAAAACAAAATTTAAAATTCAATTTATTATTTAAAAAAATTTTCTTGCAGTATAAAAAAGGCTTAAAAAGAAACTATGCTCAATGGATTTTAGATTCATGGGATATAACTGTTAGAACAATTTAAAACAATAAATGGTTAGTTACACTTAAAAAAATATTTATAAAGAAATATGAACTAGCTTTTTTTTTTTTTTAAAGTCTCTATATATTACATATACAGCTGTAAGTGACATTAACTAAACAAATTAATAAGAAAGATTTAAAGTAAGAAAAGTAAAACAAAAGTAAAAACTGTTTCTTCTCAGTGAAATTAACATCAATATTAACGCTTAGAAGAGGGTGGCCGAAAAAACTGCCAGAGCTGAAGAGTCTCAAAAAGACGGCTGCAGCTGAAATTTTGGCCACATAAATTCTCCCTTCCACCACCACATAGGGTGGGGAGGAATTCATTGTACAATAACCTTCCCCTGCTACTTGTCTGATGACATTCGTACCTTACAACTATGGGGTTTCTTAAATTCCCTATCATTTCCCCTCAACAGTGGAATGTTAGTTCGAAGCAAAAACTTTCAGTTGTCTTCCACACGATTAACTTTCTCTCTAGAATTCTACATAAATAACCTAACCTTACTGATATGCATATGCATCTAGTACATACATATACAAATGAAGAGTGAGTGCATAAGCAACAGAAATGCGAATGTGTAGCATGTATGTATGCTAATTGATATATGCATATTATATGCACATGAGGTTAAAAGCATACACATGTATGTATGAGTAAATACCATGTATATATGATAACTGTGTATATACATATATAGATGTATGCATATATTGTAAAATCCCAGATTTAAATTAAAATATTATAATTTTTCTATTTTTTCACATTTGACATAGAAGTTTTATTCAAAATTACAAAGAGACAAAAAGCGATAACATTCCAATTATTGATGACTTTATGTACAAATTTAGGACTTTCTATGAGATCATCAATATTTACTCTTATATATTTGCTTTCTATATTTCTTTTGTTATAAATATTTGCAAATCCAAAATGTGGCAAGAAAGCAAAATGTGAGACATGTATTAAATTACAGTTTTACAGCATTTACTATGATTTAACTTTTAAAAAATCCCTCGTTCAATTAGCATTTATTCTTTGTTTCCTAGGAGATAGTCCAAGTGAGAACTAATAATTAAAATATAAATACATATGTATCCTTTTGCTTCAACTTCTTTCTTGTAAGAAATCGTAACCGTATTGATAACAGTCAGTCAACTGAATATGACCTAATGGCTATTTCACAGGCTCTACTGACTTTGAACCTTCACTACGCTTTATGGCTATAATTAATGAGTTTTCACCAACATCCACATACTTAAGATACAAATTGGTAACAATCTCAAGGATGGATTATTCTGGATGGCACATAACCTTAAAGGTTATAATGCACCAGACGTATGATGAGGGGGTAGGTAGAAGGAATACATCTACATTTGGATGCAATGTTGTGAAAGCTTCAGTACCATGTCGAGCAATTTAAAGCTCATGTTTAGGTGTTCTAAGCAATATTTAGCTTCTTTAATGAATGAATTTTCAAACTAGTCTATAAAAAAGACTATCACAATATGCCTGGTGCTCTGCAGCAGACAAAATCAGTCAACATTTGGCACGGGTTTACTGTTAATATCTATTGCTTCAGCATATCTGCCTGTCTGAATGTGAATAAAACATATACACACATATAGTATATATCAACCACAATTTTTTTTTAAAATTTAAAAACAGAATTATTCCAAGTATTTCTGCACAATATGCTGCTGAAAATTGATCACTAGACCAAAAGTAAGAAATTTAGAACCAGTTTTACACACAGACCCAAAAGAAGTAAACCTCAGTACCAATAAATTTCAAAATATCCTATAAATATGCAAAATAAGAATTAAAGAAATGTCAAACTAAAACCTAAAAGTTATAAAAACCTGAAAAATACACCAAAATGAGAAAAAAATAAAAGGAAAGGAATTCAATCAAATCTGATAAAACATTATCAAAAGGAGGATACTTCAGATTCATTTACAATCCACCCTCACATTTGAAAATCACTGCGTTTCTGTATCCAAAATTAGTTGATGAACTATTCTAAAGCACTTAATTATAACAGTTCATCTGAAAATTGTGAAGTCCTCTTCGACGCATGGTAAAAATTCTAGTGTTAAATCAACTAAAAGAATAAAATTAATATTTTTTACTGAATTTTAAATTGAAACAAAGTAGAAATACAAAAATTTAAATTAAAAAAAAAACCCTGAAGAACATGAGTTTAAAACTCACTCAGAGGATGAAAAAGCAATCTGATGGTGAAAGATATTAAACACATTCAAATGACAAAAATTCCAAATTTGAATAAAGTAAATAATTAAGTATATTTTTTTACATAATGCAAGATTAAAACTGAAATTAAAATTTATAAATGGAATCTACTAGAAATTTAGTGACAACACTGTAATCAAAGTACTACAAATTTCGAAACAAAGAGCAGAAACAGATTCAAAACTGACACTAAGGGTTGCCAGTTTGGCTTCATTGGCGGAGGCAAATTAGAAATCCCCTAAAAGGTGACTTTAATGCTTGTGAGAAATATTAAATTTTTTATAAAAGGAATATGTAAAGGAAAGTAAGAAAACTAAGAAAAACAGAGGTTAGAAAAGTAAAAAAGTCTAACACAGCAAAAAGTAAAGAAAAATATACATAAATAGTGAAAAAATACATAAAAATAAAAAATATAAAACCTTCTAAAACATCCGTCTCTATTTGAGCTTTAAGAAATTCATAGTTTTTAAAAAAATTATAGGGCGTAGACTACTCAAGCTTTTTTAAAAAGACCTAAGAAAATCAATTGGAGTTTCATTTTCTTTTAAAATTTTAGTGAGAATTACAATTTCTTCTTGACCTATTTCAGTGAAAACTTTTCTAATTCTGTGAATTTGATTAATAACCACATTTGCTATAATTTTTTTAGAGATGTTGGAGTACCAGTTTGTAAGTTTTATTGTAGAAACATTAAATTCTCTTCTTTCACCAAAGTCTTGTTTCTTTAAGATTATGAATGCTAAGATCAAGATAGTGCATTACTAACCGATTTTTATTGGTTTTATAAAGTTTTAGACAGTTGGGGACAGATGAAACCATTTGTTTTCAAAAGTAGAACTATTTCATCATATTCAAAAATTTCATATGCATTTGCACAGCATTTCTGTGATATTCGACAAAAATCCAAGTATTGTTATAAACAACCAAAAACTTGAAAACAGACTAGTCATTATGCTTTCCATGCTGAAGTTCTCCTACACCTACACAAGCAATGAAGACTATTTTAAAGTTAGTCAATCTTGTTTAGACCTCTGTGTCTCTAGACCTATTTCACTAACAAGTATATGATGCAAAACTATGGAAAGAATAACTGCAAGAAGCTTAAACTAGTATAATGAGAATTTGGATGTTTAGCCAATGAACAAGCAGGATTTAGACAGTACAGATCAACTAACCAGCATGTCGCTCTCCTTAGCCAAATGGTAAAGGATGCATTAAACAAAAAACACATCCTATCAGCTATTTTTGTAGCTGATATTTAGACCTAAAATCCACCTATGACTTGGTCTGCAAGGAGTCTTTTGTTAAAGCAATCTAATACTGGTATCCACTGGTTCGAAAGTTTTCTCGGCCAGCGAATCTGTAGAGTATGCTTCGAAAACTGTTTCTTGCATTTCAAGAATCTTAAAACAGGACTCCCTCAGAGTGCCGTCACTAGTTGTATACTTTCTAACATTTATATAAATGACCTTATTACAGACATACTGAAGATTGGTGATGTCAAATGCCTACTTTATACAGACAATTTGGTTATCTGGACTGAAAATCTGCAAAAAAAGCTATATTACAATCTGAAACTTCTTTAAATCAAGCTCTAAATAAATTAAGTGATTGGTGTTGTTAATAATATACAAGTAAATCTAGAAAAAAACTGTATATCAAACTTTTTCCCTCGTACACCAACCGATCAAGCTGAATTAATACTACCAAAACCTCCCTTTTTTTCAGACCGACCATTTCTCTTATTTGGGTGTCATTTTTTACCATAAACTGACATGGAAAGGGAATGTTTCAAATATATTGGAAAGAGCTACTAAGAGACTTACTTTACTGAAAAGAATTGCTGTCGCTAAATGGAGATGCTGCAGAATAACCCTTGACCTGACCTACAATTCCTACATTTTCCTACTTATTACTTTTCAAAAATCTCTGGTGGCAGCAAGCGAGCAAGCCTCTGATACCTTGGAAAAATTCCATTATAAAGCTCTTTGTCTTATTACGGGAGCTGTCAAGACAACACCGATTGATGCACTTTTGATATCTACCCAACATTAACCACTTGCGCTATGACTAAACTTCACGTTTGCGGTGCCGTGCGCTACAATATAACAAGCTGGTAAAGTGTCTCATTTATGCCGCTACGCGTCTGCAAGTGCAATCCAGAGCTGTAACTCGAGAAATAAACAATCACATTGTTAGGCGACGTGTGCACCACGTTATTTTCATTTTTGCTAGAAATGCCTATTGACGTGGTGTTCATGTCGCTCGCGGTTTGAGACAAAAGCATCTCGACGTGCGTGGCACGTCTTTTTAGCGCAAGTGGTTAAGGTATTAAATCAGTTATTGAAGAGAAGGCACTAATTATATGGGAAAAAGATTACCAGACTGTTTTTCCCTGTAGAGTAGCCCTTTGTCATCATCTTCACAGAACCTTAAAACCTAGTATGGTTTCCTTCAGAAAGAGGATTGAACTGGGCCATGGAAAATCTCATCAAGTCACAATGCCCAGCTGAAGGAAGGAAGTACATGGTTAGGATAAACCTATCAAGTGAAGTTTTTAAGAAAGAT